GCATCAGGAGCCAGCATCATTTGTGTCGACATTTTGGAACCAGGAGAAAAAGAGTCCATCCATCCAGAAAAAGCTGGGACTGCTGTTAGCAAGCATCTGCAGTGTGCCCCAGGAAACCGGAAGGGCTGGCCTGTGCTCTTGGGTACTGGTTGAATTAAATAAGGCAGGTACAAGAAACACAGTCTAGCGTGGTGCACTGGGGGTTTAAACTGCCACCACACATCAGAGGGTGTCACAGTGGGAGGGGCTGCTGATGCCCGGTCTCCTCATGGGGACGAGGACACCTGGGACGCCCTGGGCTGCACTGCCTGGATCTTGGATTCATTACTTTCTGGGTCGTTCCCGCACTATTTTGTGTTTAAACAAAACACAGCTGTTTTCCTTATCCATGAGAACTATGGTCCAGGACCCCCAGTGGATGTCTGAAACCTGCTCTCCAGTGAACACTACAGAGACCATGTTTTTTTCCTATGTATACGTACTTAGGACAAAATTCCATTTATTGATTACAGCAAGAGCTCAACAATAACTGCTAATAAAGTAGTGCTGATAAAATGATAATAAATAATAAAATGCTAAGAAAAGAAAATGCTAATAATACACCTTAACAAAATTCCCGGCATCACTGCTTTTGTGCTTTGGGGCCATCGATAAGTAGAATAAGGGCCACTTGAACCCAAGTGTGGCGATGCCACATCAGTTGCTCTCATCACCAAGAAGGCCACCAAGGGACTAGTGTGTGGGGAGTGCATGCAGCTGGGATAAATATGTATGTATGTTCTATATATGTATGACTAATGTGTGGGGAGCGCATGCAGCTGGGGTAAATATGTGTGTATGTTGTACGCATGTACATATGACAATGTGTGGGGAGTGCATGCAGCTGGGGTATATACATATATGTATGTTGCATGCATGCACATATGACTAATGCGTGGAGAGAACATGCAGCGGGGGTAAGTATGTATGTTGTATGTATGTACATATGACTAATGTGTGGGAAGTACATGAAGCTGGGGTATATATGTATGCATGTTGTATGTATGTAATATGACTAACGTGTGGAGAGCACATGCAGCTGGGGTAAATATGTATGTATGTTGTATATATGCACATGACTAATGTGTGGGGAGTGCATGCAGCTGGGGCATATATATCTGTATGTTGCATGTATGTACATATGACTAATGTGTGGAGAGTGCATGCAGCTGGGGTAAATATGTGTGTTGTTTGCACATATGACTAACATGTGGGGAGTACATGCATCTGGGGCATGCTGGGCGAAGGAACGGCTCACGTCCGGGTGTGAGATTGTCATCGCTCCTCAGAATGGTGTGCACCTGAAAGCGTATGATCAGTTTACTTCTGTCATTTCCCCTTCAGCCTTTGAGGACCACGGTTGACCTCCGGCAAGTGGGACCCAGGAAAGTGAGATCCCAGGGCGGGCTCTCCGCGGGCACCTTGGAATCCCGGATCACGTGGAACTTCAGGTACTCCTGCAGCTTGTCCCTGTTGTCTTGTTTGAACAGGAAGTCCTGTTGCTCGGGGGGCAGAGCTTGGAGGGCGTGGTCCGTGGGCCAGAAGACAGTGACGGGGGTGTGGATGGGGTCCGTGATGACGCTCAGCAAGCCTGAGGCCTGGAACACAGGGAGGAGTCAGCCCCTGTGGTTGCTCCGCCCCACGGGCACAGCGTCCCTCCGTGGGGTGCCCTCCTGGCCCTGCCCATGGCCTGTCAGGACTCCAGATGGTTCAAGAGTGACAGAGGCAGGGGCCCATCACACTGCAGCCATTCTTAACCTCATTGCCTTAGAAAGCAAAGGGCGAGGTCAGGTATGGGGCTTTGTGAGCAGGAAAATTCTCTCTCTGGGTGTGTGTGCATGTGCGTGTGTGTGCCTGTGTGTGTGTGTGTGTGCGCGTGTGCACTACTTCTGCCCACATATTTTACATTCCGGAAGACCAACTTAGCATTTCTCTCCTATTTCATTTTAAAGTGAGGAAACCCTCTACAACACTGAGCTGCCGCTGCGTGTTGACACACATCCAGGTCATGCAGATCCAGAGCCAGGAATGGCACGATGGGGTGGGGGTGGGGGGACTCCTTCTCAGAGCCCTCTACGGCTGGGAGGAGACGTGTATGCTTTTTAAGTTTTTCCACAACCCTACGAGGGAGGGTCTATAACTCCTGTAAGAGCTCCAGAGAGGTTTGCCAACTCGCTCTCCAAGCTTGTGATCAGCCAGTCTGGTGCCCAGGTGTGGGATGAGTATGAAGCTTTGGGGGTGGTAGGTGAGCAAATGTTATGGACGGTAACATCTTTGAAGATTCTCACTGTGGCTGCCTTGAAACCCCCATTTCTAGAAAGTTCCCCAGAGACCCAGGGCATTTCAGGGACTTCTGCAGAGATGTGGAGACTGTGCCCCAGGGCCTGGCAGGGCTCTTGGAAGCCTCAAGGACTGCTCAGGGGAGGGGGCAGGGCAATCCCAGGAGGACCACAGCCCCGCCCTCCCGAGTCTCCTCTGCAGCCTTTGGGTTTGACCAAGAAATGTCCTCGCTCCCTGGGGACAGTCTCTGGAGTTGAAAAGATGTGGTTTCCAGGCCAGTTTCTGCCTGCCCACAGGCTCTCCAGCTCCGTGTCCCCAGCTCTGGAACGCGGGCGACACTCCCAGGTGTGAAGCCCCGTGTCCAGGGATCCCCCAATTCAACCTCAGCATCACCCGCCTCAATTTCCAAATCAGCCCGTGTATGCTAGAGAGCTCAAGGACCGCGCAACGTTGCAGAATGCAGTGGCAGAGAACGACTCTGTTCTCCAGGAAATGGGGACTTCCTCACCCAGAACCAACAACAATTTGCTGAATGAGCAAAAAGTGATCAGCGAGCCAGCAAGGCAGTAGCCAGTCAGCCGGCTCCAACAAGACCGAACGAGACGGCAAAAAACAGAACTTCCTTGGGCACCTTGTTCCCAAGCCAACTTTCCCCTGGGTCTTTACCTGCAATAAGTTGCTGAATTTGACGTAGCCATGGTTTATCGCCACGGTCGTAAGATTTTGCTGCGTGAAAACAAAGCATTTGAACAAAAGCTCCCTTGGTAAAACAAATGCAGATACTACAGAGCCGCTCCAACACCCCCTCCAACTCTGTTCTGCTCATGCTTCTCTGTGTTCCACAGGCTGCAAGGCTGAGCACTACATTTCCCCCAGAATCCCTTGCAGCTAGAGCCCCATAGGTGATATCCCCAAGCAGAAGCATTTGTGCAAGACTTGCTGGTGGACAGAAACAATAAGATGTGGTAGGGGAAGCTGCAGGAACTTCAGGACCTCCGGCAAGCACAATGGTAGAAGCATCTGCTGTCCTGTTCTCCAGTGGCCCGGGGGGTGAGGCCGTTGGCAGTGGCAGAGTGGTCCCAGGGTGGGGCGGGTGCCTCCCTTTGCAGGCATCCCTGGGCTGCTTGATTAGCAACTGTGTAGCACCTTGGATTGCGCTCTGGCCTTCCGAGAGACTCAGCGATGCACCTAGTGTCTTAAGAAACTCCTTTTTATGTTAGCTAGATATGGTAGTTTCTGAGGTCTGCAATGTAGAACATTGGCCAATGCTAATAATAATAAAAAAATCTCAAAATGGCCTTTTCTGTCCATTGAGAAGGAGTTTTACTCCAGGTTTAGTGCGAGATCTCTTTTTCTCTCACCTGTCATTTATCTGTTTGCCTACCATTTATAATTCTATCTCTTTGTCATCTATCATCTGTCTCTCTCTAGCAATCATCTCTGGCTGTCAATCATCTCTAGCTGTCAATTGTATCTATCTTCTCCATCTTCCAAATATTTGCAAGACTACCTGCCTTTATAGACGCTCAAAAATTTATTTATTTGAAAGGTAGAGAAAGAGAGAGAGAGAGAAAGAGAGTCTTCCATCTGCTAGTTCACTCCTCAAATGGCCACAATGGCCAGAGGTGGGCCAGTCTGAAGTCAGGATCAAGAAAAACCTATAAATCTATTTATTGATGTAAAATAAACCTGGAGGTTAAGATGCCCACACCCCGATAGCGGAGGACCCAGGTTTGACTCTTGCCTCCAGATCTTGATTCCAACTTCCTGCCAACACAGGCCCTGGAAGCAGCCGGTAACAACTCGACTAGTTTGCTCCCTGCCACGCACATGGGAGACGGGGACTGCATGCCTCCCTCCTGGCCGAGCGCTAGCCCGGTTCCTTCCACCGCAGCCTTTGGGGAGTGAAGCAGCAGATTGGAACGCTGTGTCTTTCTACCCGACTCCCTCCGCCTTTACTCATTTCTTTCTGAGAATAATGTCTATGAGGCTTTTGAAGATCCCTGAGCCTGAAGTAGCAAAATCAAGATGTCTGAGGACGACGCCTCACATTCAGAACCGAGACGCTGCGCCTCAGGCGCCTCCGTGCGGAGAGCAGGTCAGCAGGTTTACCTACCAGGATCCGTCCAAAGGCGTCTCTCGGAGTGACGAGCAGGTTCTGGGGAGACAGTAGTTTGTCTATGATATGGATGATTCCATTAGTGGTGATGATATTGCTGGCTATGACCTTAGCCTTATTATTTATATACACGGCATCCTGAAATCAACCAGAAAATTAAAGAGACGTGAGCACGGAGAACAGCAGGCACAGCAGTGCTTCTCCCAGGAAGCTTCACCCACACATTAAGTCATCAGTGGGGAATCTGAAGATTTGCCTTCCCGGAGTCTGTTTTTATTGTGATGGTAAGAAGAAAATTGCGACAGGAATGTAATTTTCACATGGAGAAGTTAATAACAGATAATGCGGCATCCACTAAAACAGTCATTTCCCTGATTCTCAGGAATGAAATAGACGAGCAGCTCAAAACTGGCTTCTCTCTACATCCCTGTCCCCAGCTCTTTTTCCCATTGCAATGAATTCTGGAGTCACCATTTGTTCCTCTGTTGTGAGGGGGACAGGCCACAGAGGTCAGGTGGCTGTAGTTGGGAGCTCTCATCTCTCTCCAGCTTCTGACCAAGGCTACCAGAAGCAGTCCTATGGACCGCCTGGAGCTGCCCTGCCTCTGCTTTGACTTCTAGTTTGAATATTTACTTGCTGTGTGACCTTGGGCAAGTTACTTAACCTTGCTGAGCAAAGTTTCCTTATTTGAAAATTGGGGGTGAAAATACTACTGTGTAATCATGGGGCTACTGTGAGGGTTAAATGATACACCATCAAACACTTTGTATTCAGGAATTTCTGCCTGTAAAACAATTTCATAGATGTGAGTTTTTATTATTAGTGCTGGTGGTTAGCCCAAGAAGGAGGAGAGGGTACTTCCCGAGGTGGCGTCTCTTACCTGAGACACGGAGATGACAATCGGCTCTCCTTGGAGGGAAGTGACATTTGGGGTCAGTTTCAGGTTTTCCAGAAGCAGCTCGTGGCAGGCGACCACATGGTAACGCAGAACCTGGGGCATTAGGCGCTGTTGGTCCCAGGCTTTCAGCTGTGAGAGCAGAGGAGGGGTTACAGCCAGAGCGGGCGCCTTTGTCTAGAGCCTTCTCTTCGGCTCTCTGTACCCTCCTGCACCGTCCTCTCGCCTTTCAGACTCTGGCAACTCGGAGTTGGCTTGTGGTCAGGGTTACAGGCTGGAGGCTGCGCCAGGCAGTGGCCCTGGTGCCTTCCCTGCCTCTCTGTAGACTCTCGGGTGGAAGGGTTCCCCCGTTTCATAGCACTGGTTGCAGACCTGGAGCCCTGTGGGACGCTCCTCTGAAGAAGCATTTCCTGTGACAGCTCCTGGTCCACCCCTCTCTCGGCGGTACCAGGGCCAGATTTAAACCGTTAGCACTGGAGACATCCCACAGAGCTCCACCCGGAATTCAGAATTTACACCACATTGGGCATTGGGCGTAGCAGTTAGGGCACTGTCTGGGACGCCTGCATCCCGTGCGGGAGTGCCTGGTTGAGTCCTGGCTCCACCCCCGACTCCAGCTTCCTGCCAGTGCCCACTCAGGGAGGCAGCAGTGATGCGTCTGGTAGCTGTGCCCCTGCCACCCACGTGGGAGACCTGGACGGAGGTCCTGGCTGCTGACTTTGGTCTGGCCCAGTCCTAGCTGTCCTGGGCATTTGGAGTGTGAACCAACAGATTGGGAGCGTTCTACCTCTCTGACTATTTCCTGCTTCTCTCTGCCCTTCAAAAAAATCCAAGATAAAAACAATGAATCTATAAAGTAGACATAATAAAAAGCCCACACAATTCTTATTGTTTGATAACTTTCTTGATGTTTAAAGGGAAAATTATCAAATTTCAAATTCTTTTCAATAAAAGATTTATTTATTTGAAAGGCAGGGTTGTAGAGAGAGGAAGGAAGGGGGAGAGGGAGTGAGGGAGGGGAAAAAGGAGGGAGAGAGGGAATGGAGGGAGCAAGGGAGAGAAAAAGGGGGGGGAGAACGAGAACGAATATCTTTCATCTGCTGGATCACTCCCCAGATGGCTGGGCCAGGCCAAAGCCAGGAGCCTGGAACTCCATCTGGGTCTCCCATGTGGATGGCTGGGGCCCAAGCACTTGGGCCATCCTCTGCTGCTTTCCCATGTGCATTAGCAGGGATTTGGATCAGAAGTGGAGCTACTGGGATTTGAACTGGTGCTCATACGGGATGCCGGCATTGCAGACGGTGGCTACATTCACTGCGCCACAAGACCAGGCCCCCTCAAACTCCTGACAATGATTTCAATGCCTCTGCTTTTCTAGTGTCCAAAATACATACAGACAGATGCAGTGCACACAGTGGTTAAAACCCCTTGTTGCTCCACTATCTGCTAGTCATGTGACCTTGGGAAAGTTACTTCTTCAATATCTTCAACAGTAAAACGGAAATAGTAAGAACACTCAGCTCTGCGAGGACTGTTTGAGTTAATCCAGGCCAGGCACTCAGAACAGGCACTGCATAAATGCTAGCTATGCTCATTACTCATGGGTAACACTGCCTGAAGAGCCCCGGTGAATATTAGCATAGTAAAGGTTCTGATAAGTCCTGCAAGCAAAGGAAGGACTTATTTAAATTCCCTTAACACAGCCTCTCCCCTGTCTATGGGAGGTTTGGATCACAATTGTTCATCTCTGCCAGCCTCCTGCCCTGTCCAGGAACGTTCTTTAGGAGGTCTTTGGCCTGAATCCACCGGAACGCATCCCCTGACAGTGCTCCCTCTACTGGCAGAAAGCCCCTACTGCTGCTGCTCAGGGCACCTGGTCATAAATGCGCTGCCCAGAAGCATCTGGAGTGTCGGTTCCAGCTTAAGGTCCCGGAACCGTGTTCTCACCCCAGACGCCCTCCCTCTGCCCACGGCATGGTGCTTACCCGCAGGTCCTCGTCAAAGGCTGCAGATAGAGGAGCAAAGACAGTGAAGGGGCCGGGGCCAGCCAGGTCCCGCACAGAGTGCTCCTGTAGGAAGGAAGGCGGGGCCGTGGCCCCTGGTTAGGCAGGGCTCAAACACCCGCGGGAGCTGATGACTGCAAAGTAGATGGAAAGTGTTGTGTTTTCGTCTTGGATGCAAATTGGACCTAGGTTGTTTGCTGCCAAAATCATGTTGTTTTGTTTTCTAATTAATACCTTCTGCTTACTGCATTCACGGTTTTGAAAATACCCATAGAGCCTAAAGAAGAAAATGAGACTAACCTCATAACCCTAGCACCTTGAAGCAACTCCTGTTATTTTTCCAGGGCCTTTTCTATCTACCAATATTTTACGTGATTGGGGATAATTATACAAATACAAAAAACAAGATAATTTACATCATTATAGTACAATTTTTGCAATTCTAAGATTATATAGTTACTAGGTTATCTATATTTTCCTCTAATCTCCCACGATCCTTCTAGATATTTTATTCTTCAGCATATCTGGATTCAGATGTCTGATGTGCAGAAACATCGAATTCCACATTTCTTTAAGTGCTGGCCAGTTACCATCAGTAATGCTTTTTGTCTCACTGGTTTGCTGGGAGTTTTTCCATACACCATGTATATTTTTCAATTTTTTAAGTGAAGAGTAGCCAGACTAACTCATGGGTGCCAGTGTGACAATTCACTGTAGTGTGTGAACTCAAGGCCATTGACATTTGCCTTTCCTTTATGATGGCAGGCTTGGGGCTCCTGGCTCCTACTCGTTTATAAAATATACACCAGGGTGTTGTGAACCATAGTCACACAGCTATACCCTCTGACATGTACAAGACAGATCAGTGTAGCATTCACTGCACTCTTCCCTGCGCCTGCCCGAGATCAGCGCTGAGAGAGGAAGTTCACAGAAAACCAACAGCAGAGCCTGTTCCATGCTCCAGCGCCTGGGCCTGGAGGCTCCAGGTTCATCCTGGCTCTGGCTTGAAAGCCCGCTCTTACACTGGAGCTATCTGTAGCTGCTCTCACCTGCAGCTGGAAGAAATACTGCGAAGTTTTTGGGTCCTTGGGAAGCTCCTGTAAAGACAGACAAAGTTGCTTTGCTTAATGCCTGTAAATTATCTACAAGAAGGATGCAGAGTTATCACAGGACGCTTTTCCTACCTTGCAAGTATCTGGCACTTCTCTCAAGTCTTTTTCACCCTGCCACCCCCCACCCCCCCATAGGCTTACAGCCAACATGCAGGATGACCACGTGCACACATTTGTGAGTTACAAAATTTTTTTGGAATCTCCATTTAATTTACCAAAGAAAGCTTCAACCATTTCCAAAAGCAAAAAGTTTTAAGAACCTTTAAAATTACAGAATATTATTAAGAAAACTTATTTAAGTATTGAAAAAATATCAGTTGTAGGTTTATGGCAGATTTCACTCACTCAAAGATTGCTTTAAAGCAAGTAAGTGAATGTTGATGTGATAATAGGTAGAAACCTGAGAGCATCTACTGCCCCGTTCTCCATGTGCAGTCCAGGTATCTAAGTGGACGCAGGTGTGCATGCAGCAAACCCTCGCTCACTCGCTTGCTCATTCACACAGCAACCCATGCCTTTGAGTTATTGCGGACTCTGCATCCTTTGTACACATAATCACATTTAATTCTTTTTTCTTTTTGACAGGCAGAGTTAGAGACAGAGAGAAAGGTCTTCCTGCTGTTGGTTCACCCCCCAAATGGCCGCCATGGCCGGCACCTGCGCCGATCTGAAGCCAGGAGCCAGGTGCTTCCTCCTGGTCTCCCATGCAGGTGCAGGGCCCAAGGACTTGGGCCATCCTCCACTGCCTTCCTGGGCCACAGCAGAGAGCTGGACTGGAAGAGGAGCAACCGGGACAGAACCAGCGCCCCAACTGAGACTAGAACCTGGAGTGCCGGTGCCGCAGGTGGAGGATTAGTCTAGTGAGCCACGGCGCCAGCCTCACATTTAATTCTTACTCATGGCCTTGGTGCTGTTATTTTTCTTTTAGAGATTTGGAAACTGAGGCACAGAGAGGTAATATAATAGGCCCTCAAAAGTCACAACGTTACTGCTTAATAGAACTGAATTCCAACCCAGATGTTTCTGACTCCAGAACCTTCTATCAACCTTTATCACTCTATCACAGGTCAAATGAATTCCCATGGACAGACAGAAATTGTTTTTTTTCATTGCTAATGTACGTGGAAGTCACCTTTTACATTTTGATAGTGCTGCACGTTTCAAGAGCCCTTGGACATCCCTTAGCAACCTGGAGCCTCAACCTGGCTGGGGAGGCAGAGTTCGCTCCGTGGAAATGTCTTACCTGATAGATATTGCCACGACAGGTGAATCCATCCCCGGTATAGTTCGACTTACAGGTGCAAGTCCTTTCTTCTTTTCCAGTGTGATTGCAGATCGCAAATTCACTACAGCCGCCGTTTTTCTGGTAAAATTGCCAGGGGGTCAGAGCAGTTAGTTTGCCAGCTCTGTCCATGCTTGCCAAGTCAGTCTGTGTTGAAATGGATTTTTTGTCCTACTGTGGGTAGTATGCATTATTTTCTGTTTTCTTGAGGCTGCTTTCCAACTCTCCATGGTTGCAAGGGACACCTTATTCTACCCAGCTGTGGGTCTTAGGAGGGCAAGTCCTTTGAGTAGCTCTCCAGGCATCACAGATAAGCCTAAAGCCGCCAGGTGGGAACTTTCTTGTCACCTGGGAGTTAACTAGAAAGGCACTAATTTGTGTGACCATTGTCAGCATCAGGCTAACCTCTGATCCAATCATGGGAGAGGTAGCAGTCACCATATAGGAGGTAGCCCATATGAGGGAGATGTCGGAAATTCATGGACAAATCGAACTAAAAGATTCGATGGCTGTAAAACCATCCTGAGGTTCATGCATAGTTGTTCTTCCACCATAGGCATTTTCTGGAACTTTCTGAAGTACTCTTATGTAAAATAGTGTTCACGTCCCTGCCCTCAGAAAAGTAAAACATAAACGAGGCAAAGTGAAGCGTGAAGCCAACATCCACGGGACCCCAAGAAGGGCTCTACAATCGAAGCAGAGCTTCTAAGTGAGGAAGAAAGTAGAGTTCACTTACAAAACCGGCTCTGCTCATCAGAGGAGGAGGGGCCCGTCTTCCAGGCTGGCTGTTGTGGGGAGCAACTCGGACTGGACTAAGTTACTGGAATTAAGACTTATTCTATGCATCTGCTCTCCCACAATATGGCACTGGGAGAGGAGTAAACAACTTCTACACAGCTGCCTCTCGCCAATTTGATTGAGCTGCAGGAGCTGATCCTGCTCCTGATTGAAGGAGAGCAGCGTGCTCGGCGTGTGGGTAGCAGAGTTGGGATTGGTGGAAGAGGACTATAAAGGAGGAGAGAGACAACATGCACCAGGAACATCTAAGGGGAACATCCGGATAACATCTGAGCAGCCCCTGAGAGAGCCGGCCGGCGGTGTGCCGCTCCCCTGCGGAAGTGGGGAAAGTGGCAGGGGGAGCCGCCCTTCCACAGAGGTGGAAGGGTCGGCAGCAAACCTGGGAAGGGCCGAGCAGACAAAAGAACAGCGCAGGGTCCTCTGTCGTTCCTCCACGAAGAGGGGGAGCGACAGGCTGTGTGGTCTCCCGTTCCTCCAGCCCTTTTCCAAGAGTTTGTTGAGCACAACCCATTGGTCCAGGAGGGACCTATCGCCCCAGAACCTGGCCTCAAGCTGAGACCACGCAGTGCCCTGTCCAAGAAAGCTGACTTCTGGGGGCTCTTATCCCCTGGGGCATGCTTTTCTTCCAGGCAATGCCCTGGACTTCAATGGTACCAACACCCTGCATGCTCTAAAACCACCTAGAAGAATCCTCTTTTGGCCCAAATCACCATCAATCTCAGTCAACAGCAGAAGCCCAGGAGCTGCAGCGGAGCCTTCATGGAAGCAGGGAGAGGACGGTGGGAGCCCAGGACCACCCTCCTAGGGGTCTCGAGTGCCAGGCTGATGGACTTGAGGCAAGCGCAGCTTCAAAGATTTGTGCTAAGGTTTGAATGCCCCCTCGCGTGGACATTTAATTGCCATTGGGACAGTAGCAAGGGGGGGGCCTTAAGAGGTCATCAGGCCATGGGGTCTCTGCCCTCATGAGTGGGACAATGCTATAGTGGAGGGAGTGGGCTCCCTGTAGGAGGACGAGCCTGCACAGGGTACCAGTCTCTCAGTCTCACACTTCCCAGCCTCCAGAACGTTGAGAAACACGTTTCTGCTCACTTAAAGTCACCCAGTCCAGGGATTCTGTTATGGCTGTGCAGAAGGGGCTAGGAGCTTAGGACAGAGAACTAATCCATGAAGGTTCCATTTCCAGGCGCTTGTTGGTGACCCTTGAGTCAAATATTGGTGATTCTTGGGCCAAGATTGAGCTCTATGATTATTTTGCTGCTTTAGCTCAGTGTTTCAAAGGGATTTTTAGAATTAATTATCACTTAAAAGTTGGAAAAACATTAAAATTCCTAAAAATTTCCATCTCTGTTAACACCAGGCTGGCGTGGCTCAGAGCAAGAGTTAGTTGGAGCCCTGTGGACACTACTCTGTAGGAACAGAGTTCCCCTGTTGGTCTTCCCTGCGTGGCCCCTCCTGGCCTGCGGCTCTCCAGCCTGGGGCACAGAGAGTTAATTCCTAAGGGAATGTGCTGAGAGGGCAGCACAGGGGCCGCTGAGATTGCCTACATCAGCCATACCAAGAATCTTTTGGCCAACCCAAGGTGGCCTTTTTTTTTTAAAGACAGAAATGGCCCATGGAAGAACTGCTGTGAAAGTAAAGCTAGTGGTAATTGTTAGGAACAGCTCCAAACCCAAGCTTCCTCAACCCTCCACACTGTCACTCTTACTGTCCTCATGCAGTGGTTTCATGCGGATCTCTCTCCTGAGGAGCTTGCCATACTAGCACAAGCAGACAAGGACCTGGCTTAGAGAGGGAGGGCTTTAACAATAGGCTGTCTTTACGTTCGCATGGCCAGAGCTGGAGACATGCAATCAGACTCTTTGGAGAGGCAACGGGGACTATTGAGATGAGATCATCCCGGATTGGTGGGGTGGGGCTTAAACCCACAGGTGCCTTTATCAAGTTCCAGAAGTGAGGGCCATGTGAAGGTGGAGGCAGAGATGGGGGTGATGAGGCCACAGCCAGGAAATCCTGGAGGCACCAGGACAGTGGGAAGAGGCAGGGAAGGAGTCTTCTCCCCTGGAGCCTTCGAGGGGGCACCTCTGTGCTGACACCTCGGGGGTGGATTTCTGCCCTCCAGAACCGTGGGGACATAATTTCCTTCTCTTTGAGCCCAGTTTGTGGCAAGTTGCTATAGCAACCCCAGGGCAGCGGCCCATGGCTAGGGAGGCATCTCATCAGAAGCAGGGAGGTGCTAAGAGTTCTTCCCGCATGGGACTGCTTTGAGGGGCTGCCTGGGAACCCCCAGCCCAGTGCTCGACTCCTGGTGTGGTGTCACGTGGATGCAGGATAGCCAAGCTGGATGTGATGTGACACCCCAGTGGGCTGACAGAGCACCATGTCCATCCAGAGGTCAAGGCCGGGGACAGGTGGCTCTGAGCAGCAGGTTGCTTGCCCAGTTTGAGGCTTGCTGATCAGCAGCCGGTGAGCTCACAGTCAAGGTGTAAGAAAATCAGAGGAGGTATCCCAGGGCAGCCCACAGGGGAACAGTCTCAGCAGCACACCTCCTCGATAGCACCACCGAGGGAGAGAGTGCAGCCACGCAGTTAGCACTGACAGGGGCCCTGGCACATCCTCGGCCATCCATGGAAACTGAGGCACTAAGAAGCAAAGCAGCCCGATGCCCTCGCTGTGGAGGACCAGGGCTGGAGAACCTGGTCGGCTGTCTGCTTTGATGACCTTCCAGTTACTGTTGCTGTAAATACCCTGAGTGATGCAGAGCTTACTCCGTCCTCTCCCTCTCCCTCTTCTGATGTTTATCGCGCGTTGGGAGAAATCACTTTTTTTTTTTTTTTTGACAGGCAGAGTTAGACAGTGAGAGAGAGAGACAGAAAAGTCTTCCTTCTGCTGGTTCACCCCCCAAATGGCTGCTATGGCCGGCATGCTGTGCTGATCTGAAGCCAGGAGCCAGGTGCCTCCTCCTGGTCTCCCATGTGCATGCAGGGCACAAGCACTTGGGCCATCCTCCACTGCACTCCCGGGCCACAGCAGAGAGCTGGACTGGAAGAGGGGAAACCGGGACAGAATCCAGCGCCTCGACCGGGACTAGAACCCAGGGTGCTGGCGCCTCAGGCAGAGGATTAACCTTGTGAGCCGCGGCGCTGGCCTAGAAATCACTTTTTCTCCTAAACTCAGTCCCCGACTCCCAGACCTACTGCTTGGGTTTACACAGAACAAAAACCACCCTCCTGTCACAGGCAGGCCTTGGCATGTTGGGGGCAGCCTCCATCTCCCACCTGTGCCTCCTCAGTGACAACGAGAATTGGGAGAATTAATGATGTGTGTGTGGACACGAGGGGGAAGAGGTGGTGCATCCTGTACTCAATGCAGGAGGCCTAGAACTTGATCGACTTTAAGGTAGAGCTGACATGCAGAAGGTGGCAGTAGGGTTGGGAGAGCAGGTGTATGGCAAGAGAAGAGGCATCTTCCCAAGACCAGCTACCAGGCCTCTCTCTTATGACAGCACTAGTTTTGGAATACTGCACTGTATTGTCGACTCAGAGAGCATCCACTCTGGATTCCTGCTTATAAAGAACAAGGTGTGGAAGGTTGTTGATGGAGGAAGTGAGTCTTAAACCTCTCAACATTGAAAGACGTGCTTGGTGAAAAGGATGAGATTTTCTTTGATAACAACTGATGATGGAACAGAGACAAGTCTCAGCTACTCTCGCTCATTGCCCAAAAGAGAAATAATGTTGGAGTTTACCCCTTGCTCTCGAACTCACACCCTATTGTCTTCACTCTACCCCTTGCATTCTTCCCCCGGTTCCGAAGCCAGTAGGCCAAATTTGGAAGAAATTCATCTCTACCTGCTGCCCCAGCCCCAGCCCCAGCCCCAGCCCAGCTAAGATATAAAAGGGCCCAGCCTGCTGGGGTCGCGGCCCCTGCCACCTGCTTGGTCTGTGAGCATGCTGGCAGTTGGTGGACCGCGGCAGATTCATTCTCTGAATAAATTCGGCGTGGTTGTAGACTCGTATTCCTGCCTCCTCTCTGTCCTGCGTTCTTTCCCTAACGTCTTGGAGCCTGTGTCAAGCAGGGAGCAAAGGATCCAGATTTCGGGTAAGAACCAGGGCTCCCTTCCCCCTTCCTCCGCACTCTCTCCTCTCTGTGGCACGCTCAGTCTTCATTTTCCTTTCGAGGGAGAGACTGTGGGTGTGTGGAACCGGGGATAACCTGGTGGATGGCTGAGAGCCTCTGGCCAGGGCGACTCTCTGGGGACTCCAACTCCCCAGGTGAAGACCAGA